AACGATTCTATAGACTCATGGACTTCTTCTTCCCTCGCATCATGTTCTATGTTGCGTTCTCCATCATAATGTACTTCTTCTTGTACCTGTTGCTCCTGTTGCTCCTGTTGCTCCTCTTGCTCCTCTGGTGTCCATTCTTCTAGAATAGCTTCTTCTTCCTGTCCATAATAATCTTCTTTTCCTTCTTCGTCTAATTGTTCGTGAGAATATAGTCCTTCTTTTGCATCTTCCAAGGTTCCTGTGGCATGTTCCCCTTGTGGCCATTCCATCTGTTCTAATTCAAGCTCATCTTCTGATGGAGTTGCTTTTCCTTTTGCTAAACTGCGAGCAACTCTGTTACATACGTGTAATTGGGGCAAGCGTTCTTCTTGTGTTTCGAAGTCATCTGGATGCTGTAGAAAAGGGAAGCGAAGGGAAGTGGTGATGCGTTGAATGAACAAAAGAACAGCAATATGAGAAAGGAACAAACAGGGGAAGTCAGAACCGGAAGAGAAAAAATATACATATAAATATTCAGGCATGTTGCGTATGCCATATATGTAGCCCAGTGCGCAACATTCCAGCCTACATCTATATGTCATGATGTAATCTTTCATACTGGGCTTACCGTTAAGCAGATGCAAGCAACAACAAAAAGGATAGCAAATTTTTTGAAGAAGGACCTATGCGCCTGTTTGTCATGTGTTTTACTTCCTGTGATGGATGAGGAGACGGTTTTGCCATTTCGGGATTCCGACGCTCCTTGTAGAATGATGCTTGTCGATGTTTGTTTGTTGTTCGAGTGTGCCATGTTGCTATGGATACTTATATGAAACGTAAATGTACAGGAGTAGTGTAGTTTTATCTTTTTCTCTTAAGTACGGTACAATTACAATAAAATTTTGCCAAAAAAGGGAAACAGTTTACAAATGTGAGCACAAAATATTTCGCTTTTACGTTTGAATATAGCAGTACAGGAAGTTTTGCGTTTTATATATTCCTGTGTGGGTGGATATAGGATCCCGTTGTAATTTAGTTTTCTATAAATCTATATTCACACAAAATTCTTATACTTGTACACAATGTACAGACATGAAGGAAAAGAAGAAGGTTATGCCAATGTAAATTATGGTATAGTTAGAAATGTATTGTGGTACTGTTGCAAATGAATTATGGTACAGTTAGGAATATATTATGGTACAATTAGAAAGAACATTGGGGCGGAAATGAATTATTTTAGGCTTTAAGTAACCAAAAAAAAAAAATACGGGGATGTCGTTTCAGTATGAATAATATGAGTAAGGCTTAAAAGTATAATATATTTTTTTTTTTTTTTGGGGGGGCACTAAACCGTTATATATATATATATTGTGGTATAAGGAGCTATTTTTTTTATGGCATTTATACAAACTGTACAAATCTTCAGCGATATAAGTGCTGCATGCCGTAATGTTTCTTAATGCAAAATTAGCGCAATTTGTGTTTTATGCAAAGATGTAGAATGATTTTTCTCCCTACATATAGTGTACCGGAGAAAATATAAAGTTCAAATCTGACATATGGAAGTTGTGTAAGCGGGGGGTCATGAATTAACCGTTTGGAGTTTTAGGGGGTTACTGTTCATGTTTTATTATGTATTTTGATATAGGGACTCATGATTTTGGTGGGGGGGGGACATGTTTTTCAAGCTTGCAAGGGGTTAGACTTTCCAGCTGCTGTTTTCAATCTTCACAATTCATGGATACCCATATACATTGTTCTGCGTTTTTTTTTTTTTTAATAGTGCGTTATATATATAGGCCTCCATGCATAATGATCGGACGTTATTGTGATATTTGCATACTCTGCTCGTTTATACAACGTTGTTCCGTGATTCATGCTGGTAAGCCTTGTAATTTGCAGTATACAATGTGCTGAACATGCTTTTTTTTTTTT